GAGTTTTCTTTAGTCTTAAGAACTGAACCATATTCTCAGTAATAAAGGTAGCTTGCGAGCCCTGGTCTACCAAGGCTCTCAGGACTTGAAATTGACCTGTATTCGACTGAGCTCTTACTAACGCTGTGGCTAATAAGACATGTCGATAATTGGCAACTGCACCCGTTGAAAGACATGAGACAATCGGTACTTTATTTTTTGAAATACTTGTCTTTTCCAAGTTATTACTGGAATTAAAATTTTGTTCTTCAATCTTACCAGAATTAGTACTATTGACATGTAGAAGAGTGTGATGGCGTTTCTTACATATGCGACAAAACGTTGTCTTTTGACAGTCACTTACTACGTGGTTCCCCCCTAAACAATTGAAACAAATTTTATTGCTTTTTACGAACTCATTTCGCTTATCGACATTTAATTTTATAAATTTCTTGCAGAAACATAATTTGTGATTTTCAGCACAAAACTCACATTTAAGATGACTGATGTTAGTACTATGATTTGCGAACATAACCTTAGGATTTGATTGGTATTTGTGTGAAATGTCGTGGTGACTGGTAAATCTTTTAGGTTCAATGAATTCTAAGGCTCTAAATCGACTTTCTAGAAAGCTCTTAAATTGACTATACGTTGGTAAATCCACAGAGTTATCGCTAGAAACTGATATTTCCCATTGTTTACGTGTTTCTGGGTCGAGTTTGTATGCAACTATATAAATTATTATTACATCCCATGTACTCACATCGATATTTAAATTTTTTAAAGCATTAATACAATCCGTAGTAGTATCTAAAATTTCTTTTATGGAGCCGGCTGACTCAATATGTACACGTTTTTGTCCAATAAATCTTTTTAATATACAATTAGCTAAGTACTTTTTATTATTATATCTATTTTCTAGTTGCTCCCAACATTGCTTATAATTATCGTCTGTTGTAGGTATATAACGAATTAACTGTTCAGCTTCGCCTGTAAGATGCCCCTTCAAATAATGCATTTTATGTACATTATCAAGCGAATCGTTTTTGTGAACTAAAGATATAAATAAGTCTCGGAACGTACTCCACTCAGAATATTTTCCCGAAAAAGTAGGTATTGCAATTTGTGGTAATCTTACAATTGAAGGAATAGGATTATCATTGCTTTCAACCTTTTTAATAACTGAACTCGAATCTTTAGGACTTAAACTTTTGTGAGAAGCTTTTAATAATGTTCTATAATCTAAATAAATGTCCTCAACACTGCCATAAACGTCATTTACTATATAGGGCAATGAGGATAATTCATCGGTTGAAGCAATTTGCATTAACTTGTTGTTATTTTCTCTAAATTGAGACCAATCCCTTTCCAAATGTTCTGTTCTAACTTCAACATATTCTAAAGTGATTCTACTTTTTGGTGATTTATTAAAGTTAATTAAACCTCTTTCAATTGCCTTTTGAAGCGACAGTTGCATCTTAACCAGTGCTTCCATTTTTATTTAAATTACAATAATAAATTCAATGAACAAAAAAGAGATCAGTTACCTTACTATTCAAAAAACTCTAATGAAATCCTATATTTTATCACAATAATAAACATCAATTGAATATTATACAAAATAATTAAATATTTACAAAATTATTACACTCGCATTCCTTACACTAAACAATTCGAAAGTCTTGTTCATTATATATCCTTTATGTATCTATGTTCTTCTATAGAAGTAATTAAGTTATAAGTTGCAAATCATCAATAATACACCACTGTACTTACAGTTTATGCACTCTCACAAGCACTATTATGACGACGCGTTACTATTTTTGCTGTCGTCCACCACAAGGAGTTGTTTTGTCGCGTTCGGAGATGTCACAGGAATCGTGATCGCAGCTTACTTACATACACCCACCAAAAGGCGCTCAAAACGCTGGATGACTCGATGACGTTATCAATTCCAAATTTTGCGTTATATTATTTTCTTCTGATTCCCCGGATAGAGAAATGCAATTTCGACATGCAGCACTATCGGCATGCCACCATTGCCTGCTAACTTTGACTTACTCGGACAAACTTTGAATCCGTTACTTTTCTTCTTGGTACGCGAGTATTATATAACTTTATTGGTCTTATCCGGTTCACTATGGACCATTTGTTTGTTTCGATAGCTTGATGAACTGTTATTTGTACTTTAAATAAAAAACCAAAAGAACTTGTACTGGAACTATATTTATCAAGAAGACATATTTTTTAATAACAAGTTGATTGCCATGGTAACAACCCTACACCTTTTTAATACATTCTTTTTAAGGAGTCTAGAAAAGAGGTTGACACACTATAATGATAAGTTATAACGTGAACAGGCACAGAACAGATCTTTATGTAGACTTAATCAATGGAAAGAGTAATTCACAAGGAAACCGCGTAACCATAACGATAGAAAATTCCGGAAAAAAGTCATGCGGCCCGGATTTTCTTTCTACATACGAATATAAGTACAATACAGAATTTAATATAAGTACAATAAAAACTATAAGGACATCGTTTAAATAGTTTTACATGAAAACAATTGAATATGTCTTGAGATGAGCACACGACAAACACGAAATCAATGACGCGTCACTAATTAAAAAGCGGAAACTCAGTAAGTGAATAGTGCATTAAACGGACCGGCGCGTGAGCACGCACGCTTGCATTCTGTAAGACCTGCCTATGTCTATATGAACGTTACTAGATCACAAATTGTACGTGGCCGTTTGTTTTTGAGTGTTTCCAATATTTTGTGTCACAGTTTGTGTTTGTGCAAATCCGTGATTACATATTGTGTCGATGCGCGTAGTGATCTGTTGCTGTTTCGTCAAATATGAGAATGTATGTAACAAAATTATATTATTTCATTCAGTAAAACGTGTAGCGTTGTTGATAATTGTGAGTAATTATTATCATATCAATTAATGTAGGTACTGTCATCATCAAATTATTACCTAATTTTGCTAAGAAAGCTTTGACCAGATAACTAAAAGTAGCCCCCTTCTTCCTTTTTTTATGTCACCTTTTAAGTACGGAATTTCAAAGATTAACTTTTATACCGTATCTAGGTGCTATAGTATCATCCTTGTTTCGAATTTTAATGAAGCAAGGAATTTCACTAGGTGTTTCCGAAAATGTATATCACTTTACCATAGATTTTTCCTTTACCATAGGTATTCAGACTCTTCACTAATTTACTTGCCGATCCCTGATTTATAACCTAAGTAATGTACGTACTAAGTAAGAAGTAATCAAATGTATATTTCTATCACACTTCTACAGCTTTTCTACAGTCTCAAACATAACACATTTGGTGACATATTCGCATGTTATTCTACTGAATTCTAAATTATGTTTGTTTGTTGTTTAGTTTACGAAATTCTTAATGACGAGTGACATAATTGGCTGATAAAAGTGACTAAGAACAAATGTATACATTACACACACGCTACAGTATCAGCTTACGTTCCCACTGCTGGGACACAGCACTTCTGTATAAGTATATGGACACAAGGAGTGTGCGGACATAAACCATATATCAGAAAACGTATCTTACTAACGGTCAGTTACACAAACGTCCATTAGGGTTTAATGACGTCTTTAAGTTCTAATTTATGACAAAGATGTATCGGTAATGTCCCTTTAAACTAATGACAATTATAATAGGCGTTTGTTCAATAAAATTAAACTCGACAGAATTAATTAGGCGTTTGTTCAATAAAATTAAACTCGACAGAATTAATTCAATAACAAATAACATATTTGTTTAACTTCTGCGATCGCAAAGCGAATACACTAACCACTGCATCATCGAGCACCTCGTCTAGCCAACCAATATGAATGATTATTTTGAGCAGTTTATTTCAAGCTATTCATAGTAAATAATATTATTATATTTCTTTGAGTTAGTGTCTTCCAAAATTGGTTAACCTAAGTATATATCATGTTTTGACTAAATTGAAATCGTAAGAGAATTTAATAAGAAATTCAATGTTCGGGTCGGTCGTCGCGTATTATCGGTAACGATACAATAGAACTGACAAAGTCAAAATCAAAATAATCTTTATTCAAATAGACTTCTTAATCGTCCAACATTTTTTTTCCCTACCACTCGTTCAGGACGTCTTTTGGCTGATAAGAAGAACGAGCAAGAAACTCACCAGCTCTAATAAGAGTAATGACATTTAACAAAAACCAATATATTTACAAAGACAAATATACCTACTCAACCTTGCACGATTGCTTACCTTATTCAGTCCGCTCGGCATATTATTTACTCTTAAGCGTTTTTTGTGTCTTACGTTAACACAGGGTAAAAATAAGAAGATCAATTCTTATACTTAAAGTGGCTTCGGAACTCGGGGAAGTTGGAGATAATAAATTTTTGTAACCCACCGAGTTGTAGTAACGACCGGCTCCCTTTTTTAGTCCATAAACGTTCGTTTGTAGGAGCACGGTCTATCAGAGAGTCGCGAGGAGCTGGACACGCGGGAGAGCGCGGAGCCGCTCACCGCCGCGCACCGCGCGCACTCCACCTCATGTCTGGAGCTGAACGATCAGCAGCCGCACAACAACAGGTCAGTATTATACTGCCGATATTTACACACCCTCTCTTGCCCCTCAAATTTAAACAGCAGCAGTAACGACTGATTTCCGAAACTTTCGAGACTGTATGCCCGCGGGTGAGGAGCTTGAGATAACTGACTTAGAAACGTTCCGTTTAAGTTTACATCACAGGCGATAACATTAAGAAAATCTACCTGAGGGTATCAGACGGATGGAATCTTTACACTGTTTCAAATTATAAGCAAAATTCCTATCTCTGTCAGCAGACTAGTCTGTTTCTCTATTTTCGTTTCTATTTTGGTGTTGTCCTGAGCATTCTGGTCATACTGCCTAACGTATACTGTTGAAATATTTATCCATTCCATTCATGTGGTGCAATAAAGACTACCTACATAATAACCTTTTTAAAATCTAATCTTTTTAAAATCTAATCTGACGTAGTCAGCTTCCTCTAGTTTTCTGAATTATATTATTCATGTTTTTAAAGTTTTCTTTTTTTGTTTATTTTTCAATATTGAGACGAATGAAATTGGCAGTCTTGTCGTGTTTTTTATGTCAAATGCTCGCTGATCCTTTCCTCATAAATTTTCGCCATTATAATACTTAGATACATAAATATTTAACGTACACACCTTGATAAAAGCCCGTCGCCCGCAGAGCATTACTGCCCCAGTACCGGCCCGCGCCCGACTACGAGACTGCCATACAACAGAAATACCAACAGCAACGGGCGGAAGCTCAGCTGCGCTACCAAAACCACTCCCCGGCGAAACCCGCGTACGGCTCCCAGCCCGACATACATAGGCATTACGACGACTACTACGCGCTCAACTACCTCAACTATCCGTTCGCGGTCAATCCCAACGTCCAGGCGGAAATAACGCCCCAAATGCACTACGTGAACGTGTACAAACCCCCACCCCCCTACCCCTCCAACGGTCTAGCGTCTAACTCCACCCCGGACTTGGCGGTCGCCAGTCAAGCCCTCAACTACCACAGAGGTTACATCAACTCCCACGTGTCCGGCTCCAGTCCCGACTTGGTGTCGACTAGGACCGCCCTCAACAGACAGTATTTAGGTTATTTGACCGGCAGTCACGGCGTGATCAACTACGCTAGACCTAACGTGATGCCCGCGCACGGAACGTACAACAATCTCACTTCGGTTCTGGAACCGAACCCGCATATTATCATAGACCCCCACCACGTATCCGATAGCATACAGAAAGTGTACGACGAGAGAGGAAACATAATGTACTCTATGCCGATGCACAGACCTTACCAGAGACACATAGTGCTGTCGCAAACGCAGCAGATCAAACTGAACGACACGCAGGAGCCTATATACGAGAACGTGCCTTTGCCTTGGCAGAGCGAGAAGGGTACGATGAGGGATCGAGCGCAAAGCCTCACGACGACAGACGAAATCGCGAGGCTGAACGAGAGGAACAGCAGTCATCCGAACATAAACAGATACGGCAATTTGAAACAAACGTCGAACGTGCCGAGCTGCGTGCCGACGAGGGTGGACAACCCCGACAGCCACTACGTGAACGCGCAGATAATAAAAGGGGTCAGAGAATCGAGTGTCCCGAAAGACGATCGGTCCTCGAACAGATCCGTCGATAAGTCGAGCGACTTCGAGAACGTGGCTCTGTCGGCGGAGAGGCTGTCGCTGAAGGACGACGAGACCCCGTACCAGAGTCTGTCGACGCGGGTGTCGAATAACAACACGATAAACAAGGAGAACGTGACGACCATATCGATCGATCAGTCGAACGCGAACCGCAACGTGAGCATGTCGGATAGCTCCACGATAAACGTTACGGACGACGGGAAAAGTAATGTGAGCAGTAAAGAGAAGAAGAGGAGGCGGTGGGGCGTGTTCATGGGGCGGGGGGTGAAGGCCGAGGTGCGGAGCGCCACGCTTGGGCGGGACAGGGCGAAGCCCGCGCCGCAGCCCGCCAACAAACACAGGTGGTCGACGGGACTGCCCAAGTTCCAACCGTTGCCGCCAAGCATTACCAAAGAAACTTTGGTGAGTACAAATTTATTAAGCATCATATTGCTAGATCATAAATGATGTAATATTAACAGTTTGAAGTCTTGCATTCAATGAGTTTCATAAAACGATAGCTTTATCCAAAAGTTCTTGTTTTGTAGTCTAAAACAAGAAAAAAGTAGTAGAAAAAAAAATGAGAAATATTCAGATTGTATAAACTCACATGCTAATACATTATTTCAGTTTTTAGATAGTATCGGCGCGGAGTCCTTCCTTTTATGCTCGTTTTGTGTTATTTTTAGTTAGCTTGTGGCTATGAATACACGGGAATATTCAAAATTAAGGATTAATTACTGTTTGTAATTATGTCATCGCTATTTAATCGATGAAGCGTTGTAACTTAATATATCAACACATTACCGATGATAAATATTATATCGGATGCGATAAACAATCTGGTATTATAAAAAACAAAACAGACTTCATAAGTTTGTGTTATACTAACGTATTTCTTTTTTGTAACTATTTCTTGGTTCTAGCCAAAAAAAACACGCCGTGTTGAACTTTGAAAATTTAGATAAATTTGGATTACATTTAGATGCAGTCGTTAATATCCTCCAACCCGCATTGGGCCAGCGTGGAGGGTCATGGCCCATCCTCCTTAATCATCCATAAGGAAGGCCTGAGCCCCTGCAGTGGGCACGTAAAAGGGCTGGTGGTGGTGAAGTGTTTTTTAGATAAAAAGAAATATATCGTATAATGATGTAATATAGAAAAATACTTTGTCAGTACTCCTTAAGAATCTAGGACTTTTAAATGTTAAATAAATAGTAGAAATTTCATCCCTGAAATTAACTACAAATCCGTTTCTTTTTAAAATAAAGTCGTAATTCATCTGAAATCATCTTATGGATCATCAAAATATTTTTTTTAATTATGCTTGCAGAAAATTAGGATTAAAGGTAGTATCCAACATGAGGTACAACACTTGTATCTTTCGAGGGTACGTCATGTATCGTTAATAAAGATTATCGTTTCAGTGCCAATTATTAGAAAGGAAAATGTCCGAGGAGCAAATCTCGTTCGCATTCGAGCGCCTACCGAAGGGGAGGGAAAAGGGGGGCTCGGTTGCAACAGCGCTGCTGCCCCAATACGCCGCCCTCAACGGGTACTCGGGGGACAGCCTGCCCTACGACGACAACCGCGTCAGGCTGAAGCCCACCCCGGCCAACCCGCACGGGTACATCAACGCTTCACACGTCACGGCACGTTCCATTTATTATTTTTTTAAAGTTGAGCTAAAAATATGTGGAGATTAAATATATTGCGCGGTAATGTATCGTTTCTATCGTTAATATTAAAATTAATGTAAACTAAAGTTAATATAAATAAATATTGCAACTAGATAACTTCGTTAAATAACCTAGACTAAAATAATTGCAAATATATACATTTATTTCATAATGGAAGGAACTCGTATACTACCTATTTAATAAATTTATTACGTAAGACTAAACCATGTGGACTAGATCCCTACTTCTTTTTTATGGAATCTTCTTTTTTTTAATGTATGGGCTATTTGTGTTTACACAATTCCGCCAATACCACGTCGGTAGTTGTTACACATAGGGAGACATACCAAAAATATGTAAATTTTTAGAAACAACATTAACCGACATCTATCCACCCTGACAGACAATCGCTAAGACAAACGAAGAAGGCACGGATATCTGCAATCGATCAATCGAAGAGTTGATTATTTAGTGCAGAATTATTTTTAGTAGAGAAATAATTTGTCACATACAGTTATGGAAATTATAGAGGCCGATTTCGCCAATCTTTGCGAAACGACCTCGTTTTCAACTATGATTAATAAAACGAAAGGCATCGGGGACATTGTATTTTATTATTTGCGTGTTCAGATGACGGTGGGCAGCTCGCAGCGGTTCTACGTGGTGATAAAGGTGGGCACCGGGCGGACGGGGGCGCCGGCGGGGGCGGGGGTGGGGGCGGGGGCGGCGTGCACGTGCGGGTGCAGCGGCGTGTGGGAGTGCGCGTGGCAGGTGGGGGCGCGCCTGCTGGCGCTGGTGGGGGACAGCGACCGCCCCCACTACCTGCCCCCCGACAACACCACCGTGCAAATGGGCGAGGTGAGCGGGACGCGATAGGGATGATGAATTCTATTAAGTCCGTTAGACAGATAACAGTAAAATATTAGATACGTATTTTTTTTACTTTAACAAGAAATGGTGTAGATAACAGGCATTAAAGTCGCGGGGTGTGAGCTTGCTATGTCACAGTTTGTAGAAAATGTACAAAAGCGGGACGTCGTAGGGCATTTCATTACGGTTATTGATTATATGAAAAAAATGCGTGTTTAATATTCTTTAATAATCTACCTGGCATACGAACGAACAAAATTAGTTTTCCCTATTGCATATTAAAAAAAAAATACAAATGCGTGATTTACTTTGTAGTAGATTATTACCGTGACATTTGACAGTATTACGTTGTCGTTATAAATTAAATCGTCGTCTTTTTCTTTAGTTTTTAATGGCTCAGAATTATATTTTAATTCATACAAAGGTTCAGAAAGTTTAAAGTCCACAATTTTGTCTAGACGTCAGAGGTTTTAGGCACAAAATGGGCATAGAGGTTTTAGGTCAAGTAGATTATGCTTCGATCGAGTTTAGCATTTAGTATAGATGACGACCACAGAACACAGAAAGACGTTAGAAGGGCCTTTTGGGCGTGGCAGTGTAGCCACGATTCTGGACAAATGTACAGGATCGTGACTCACCACGCGATCGCGATGTCTAGTCATTTACGAACGCGCGCGCTTTAGTACTGTGAAAGACGCCACTAAAAGTGTTAAAAATGTCGACTTGCGCAGTTATTAATTGCAAAACAAGAAGCCCATCCTCAAGTAGGTACAAAGGAAGGATTTCTTTCCGTTAGTAAGTAGAACACTTCTCAAATTTAGCATTTTTCATGAAATGTTATCAAAAGTGTGAATCACAAAAAAATATTTCCAAGAAAATATACATTGCTGGAGAAGTGCGCATATTTATGACATTGCGTCGTACTAAGCACGTAATGGAACATCACGAAATCACCGTTTTAAATAGCAATATAATAGATTACGATAGATGGGTAGTGAAGTGCCTGGAAACATTTAATCGATTCTTGGTGTGTTAGTCAGAAAAAACTAAATAAAAGTATGGACGATAAAAATAGTGGTAATAAAAAATAAATTGAATTAGAGATTAACCATATTGACTTCGTTTGGTATGCGTTTGTATATTAATTTAATAACGAGTGTGGTAATAAGTCTGTTTTTATATTCTTAATATTGTAACAGAAAATTAGTTTTTTTTTTGAACCATTAACTTGAACCATTAAATACTTTTTAAATCATCGGAATCCGTTCAGGATAAGTTCCAATAGCATTTATTGTACTGATAGTATTTTTTTATTTTGTAGGTATATATTTATTTACATTATATTGTTTGTCAATATAACTAGTTTTATTTAAGCGATGTTGCCCATCTTATCTGTTTACTTGATACGAAATCGAATAACGTAAGTTAAAAAAAAATCTACTAATATTATTAATAAAGAAACATATTGCATATAGCATAAAATATTTAAGCTCGACTAGTACCGATTCAATGTTAGATCTTCTTTTTAGTTTATTTGGTTCATTAGTAATTGAAATATTTCTTATTGAATCAACCGACTAATTAAGAATTGATATCTAAAGAAAAAAAGATAATGTCTCATTTAATCAATACAATTTAATGTATATCCAAAATAATATAAAGAAATCATTACTCTAGTATCCTTTCAATTAATCGACTCGTTGCTTTTCAATATCGATAGTAAATAAGTTAATGTCAATCACTAGTGTGATATGTCAAATTAAAACGGCTTTTACACGTTTATTGCGCACTATAGATGTCTGTTATGGTTGAGCGTGATCGGTTATAGTTATATTGGAGCGTTCCGATTGGCATGTTTAAAATGCAAGTGTGTGCATATATTTTGTATAATTGGTCTGATATTTCGTCTGATGTACGGCGGACCAAAAGTGGGGCAAAACTGTCGACATCGGTTTTCGTACAAAGGATGCACGATCGCCTCTCTAACCTCTTTTACATGTCCTGTGGATGACGCCAGTGACAGGTCGCTCCGTGTCCAGTTCCAGGTGTCGTGCCGCTCGTGGTCGGCGGCCGCGTGGGGCGCCACGGCGCGCGTGCGCGTGCGCAGCGGCGGCCGCGCGCGCGACCTGTGGCACGTGTCCTACCGCAACTGGCCGCGCGACCTGCCCGCGCCGCCCGACGCGGACGACTTCCTAGGTCGGTCCTAGTCTCTATACGTTGCGTCAATGTATCGACCTGTGGCACGTGTCCTACCGCAACTGGCCGCGCGACCTGCCCGCGCCGCCCGACGCGGACGACTTCCTAGGTCGGTCGCACTCTCTATACGTTGCGTCAATGTATCGACCTGTGGCACGTGTCCTACCGCAACTGGCCGCGCGACCTGCCCGCGCCGCCCGACGCGGACGACTTCCTAGGTCGGTCGCACTCTCTATACGTTGCGTCAATGTATCGACCTGTGGCACGTGTCCTACCGCAACTGGCCGCGCGACCTGCCCGCGCCGCCCGACGCGGACGACTTCCTAGGTCGGTCCTAGTCTCTATACGTTGCGTCAATGTATCGACCTGTGGCACGTGTCCTACCGCAACTGGCCGCGCGACCTGCCCGCGCCGCCCGACGCGGACGACTTCCTAGGTCGGTCGCACTCTCTATACGTTGCGTCAATGTATCGACCTGTGGCACGTGTCCTACCGCAACTGGCCGCGCGACCTGCCCGCGCCGCCCGACGCGGACGACTTCCTAGGTCGGTCGCACTCTCTATACGTTGCGTCAATGTATCGACCTGTGGCACGTGTCCTACCGCAACTGGCCGCGCGACCTGCCCGCGCCGCCCGACGCGGACGACTTCCTAGGTCGGTCCTAGTCTCTATACGTTGCGTCAATGTATCGACCTGTGGCACGTGTCCTACCGCAACTGGCCGCGCGACCTGCCCGCGCCGCCCGACGCGGACGACTTCCTAGGTCGGTCCTAGTCTCTATACGTTGCGTCAATGTATCGACCTGTGGCACGTGTCCTACCGCAACTGGCCGCGCGACCTGCCCGCGCCGCCCGACGCGGACGACTTCCTAGGTCGGTCGCACTCTCTATACGTTGCGTCAATGTATCGACCTGTGGCACGTGTCCTACCGCAACTGGCCGCGCGACCTGCCCGCGCCGCCCGACGCGGACGACTTCCTAGGTCGGTCGCACTCTCTATACGTTGCGTCAATGTATCGACCTGTGGCACGTGTCCTACCGCAACTGGCCGCGCGACCTGCCCGCGCCGCCCGACGCGGACGACTTCCTAGGTCGGTCGCACTCTCTATACGTTGCGTCAATGTATCGACCTGTGGCACGTGTCCTACCGCAACTGGCCGCGCGACCTGCCCGCGCCGCCCGACGCGGACGACTTCCTAGGTCGGTCGCACTCTCTATACGTTGCGTCAATGTATCGACCTGTGGCACGTGTCCTACCGCAACTGGCCGCGCGACCTGCCCGCGCCGCCCGACGCGGACGACTTCCTAGGTCGGTCGCACTCTCTATACGTTGCGTCAATGTATCGACCTGTGGCACGTGTCCTACCGCAACTGGCCGCGCGACCTGCCCGCGCCGCCCGACGCGGACGACTTCCTAGGTCGGTCGCACTCTCTATACGTTGCGTCAATGTATCGACCTGTGGCACGTGTCCTACCGCAACTGGCCGCGCGACCTGCCCGCGCCGCCCGACGCGGACGACTTCCTAGGTCGGTCCTAGTCTCTATACGTTGCGTCAATGTATCGACCTGTGGCACGTGTCCTACCGCAACTGGCCGCGCGACCTGCCCGCGCCGCCCGACGCGGACGACTTCCTAGGTCGGTCGCACTCTCTATACGTTGCGTCAATGTATCGACCTGTGGCACGTGTCCTACCGCAACTGGCCGCGCGACCTGCCCGCGCCGCCCGACGCGGACGACTTCCTAGGTCGGTCGCACTCTCTATACGTTGCGTCAATGTATCGACCTGTGGCACGTGTCCTACCGCAACTGGCCGCGCGACCTGCCCGCGCCGCCCGACGCGGACGACTTCCTAGGTCGGTCGCACTCTCTATACGTTGCGTCAATGTATCGACCTGTGGCACGTGTCCTACCGCAACTGGCCGCGCGACCTGCCCGCGCCGCCCGACGCGGACGACTTCCTAGGTCGGTCGCACTCTCTATACGTTGCGTCAATGTATCGACCTGTGGCACGTGTCCTACCGCAACTGGCCGCGCGACCTGCCCGCGCCGCCCGACGCGGACGACTTCCTAGGTCGGTCGCACTCTCTATACGTTGCGTCAATGTATCGACCTGTGGCACGTGTCCTACCGCAACTGGCCGCGCGACCTGCCCGCGCCGCCCGACGCGGACGACTTCCTAGGTCGGTCGCACTCTCTATACGTTGCGTCAATGTATCGACCTGTGGCACGTGTCCTACCGCAACTGGCCGCGCGACCTGCCCGCGCCGCCCGACGCGGACGACTTCCTAGGTCGGTCGCACTCTCTATACGTTGCGTCAATGTATCGACCTGTGGCACGTGTCCTACCGCAACTGGCCGCGCGACCTGCCCGCGCCGCCCGACGCGGACGACTTCCTAGGTCGGTCGCACTCTCTATACGTTGCGTCAATGTATCGACCTGTGGCACGTGTCCTACCGCAACTGGCCGCGCGACCTGCCCGCGCCGCCCGACGCGGACGACTTCCTAGGTCGGTCGCTAGTCTCTATACGTTGCGTCAATGTATCGACCTGTGGCACGTGTCCTACCGCAACTGGCCGCGCGACCTGCCCGCGCCGCCCGACGCGGACGACTTCCTAGGTCGGTCGCACTCTCTATACGTTGCGTCAATGTATCGACCTGTGGCACGTGTCCTACCGCAACTGGCCGCGCGACCTGCCCGCGCCGCCCGACGCGGACGACTTCCTAGGTCGGTCGCTAGTCTCTATACGTTGCGTCAATGTATCGACCTGTGGCACGTGTCCTACCGCAACTGGCCGCGCGACCTGCCCGCGCCGCCCGACGCGGACGACTTCCTAGGTCGGTCGCACTCTCTATACGTTGCGTCAATGTATCGACCTGTGGCACGTGTCCTACCGCAACTGGCCGCGCGACCTGCCCGCGCCGCCCGACGCGGACGACTTCCTAGGTCGGTCGCACTCTCTATACGTTGCGTCAATGTATCGACCTGTGGCACGTGTCCTACCGCAACTGGCCGCGCGACCTGCCCGCGCCGCCCGACGCGGACGACTTCCTAGGTCGGTCGCACTCTCTATACGTTGCGTCAATGTATCGACCTGTGGCACGTGTCCTACCGCAACTGGCCGCGCGACCTGCCCGCGCCGCCCGACGCGGACGACTTCCTAGGTCGGTCGCACTCTC